CTGCATTGTTTCCTACTGGAAATTCAAGTTCTCTGTCTTCCCAGAGGTGGGGGCTACATCTCCAGCTGAAAGATGGCCAGCTGCAAGGCTGCAGTCTAAACACCCTAAATCACGATGCCAGAGCACTCCCAAATCTGACAGAGTCTGTTACTGAAGTCATGGGACCATTTGAACCAGGATTTTATGGGCAAATCTGTTCATATTGCCAAAGCCAACACAATCTCCAGGACATGGTGTTGAGATCTGGCTATTCCCTGATCTAAGTTACTCTATATTGTGTAAACAGTGGCTTTCAGACTATGCCTTGCCCTGGGTGACTCCATTTCACAAAGAGAAATTTGGCTCCATTGTGAGGGCAAATATAGAGTGTGAGGATGAATCTACACTTCCCTGTGCAAGTAGACACCATTCCCTGCCCAGCACCAGCCATGAAGCACAGACTGACAACCTAGTTCTAAACATCACAAGGGGCCATGCCACACACTTAGCAAAGCAGACTGGGACCATATGAGCACAGGGGCACAGCAAGAATATTTTCAGGAAAGCTGGGGTCAAGAACTTACTGAACACGCCAGACCAACAACAGGGTGCAATACTCTCATCTGGAATCCATACAGAGGAAGACACCTAACATGTCGATGGCCACAGACCACCCACCAGTAATCTGACCACTCGGCATCAAGGAACCAAAAGAGAACTCCCAACTGTCTCAGGAGCTTCAGCTCAGCTTACCCCCACTGCTGACACAGCCGACCTTAAATAGCCACCTCTCCAAGCACCCATCTCTCCATCCACCCACCTATCCATCTATCCATCCATCTATTCATCCATCTAACTATCTCACAAAATCCAACATTCCACCTACCAATCCATCTGTCTATCCTTCCATCCATTCATCTATCTACTCATCCATCTAACTGTCCCTCAATCCATCCATCCATCTATTCACCCATCTATCTGTCCATCCACCTAAACACCCATATACCCATCCATCCATTTATCCACCCATCCATTCATTCGCCCATCTATTTACCCACCCATTCATCCATCCATCCATCCATCCATCCATCCATCCATCCATCCATCCATCCATCCATCCATCAATCCACTCATCCATCCATCTCTCCACCCACCCACCCATCCATTTATTCACCCACCCATTCATCTATCCACCCATCCATCCTTCCAGATCCCGTTTTCCATCTAATCTCTGCAACTCCACTCTACTTTGAGGCTTGGTGTGTCCTCCCAACAGAGTTTCTTATCTGATCACCTCCATTCCCCTGCTCCCCATCTCTATCAGTTCTCTGCTTCTGCCTTCAGTTAGGCCTCTCTGAACTCCTTGAATTCTGTGGTGGCCTTTTAGCTCTTTATTGCCATCTGAATATTGATATATAAAGCAATTAATTACCCTGTGAAGTATAATGTATGATCTGAGAGTTGATTCTGATATTAAACACCATATTTGCAGGTATGTGTGTAAGCCTTGGTTCTTCTTGTAGATGGTGTAGTGTTATGGTAATATTTGTGCTGAAAAATGATTTCATTTGTATGATAATAAATAAAGTTGCCTGGGAGTCAGAGCTAATAGCAAGCTATAGCAGAAGCAGGGGGTTGGTGGCACACACCTTTAATCTGATCACAGGACAGGCAGATCTCTGTGTGATCAAGGATACAGACAGCATGGAGACATACACCTTTAATCTCAATACCAACCATAGAGACCTAGAGGTCTGGATAGATGGGCATTTGACCAGGAGGTCATGTGGTTGGGTTTACAACTGATAAGAAGGCAGAACAGAAAGTCAATAAAAAGACAGAAACACAGGAAGTAGGCCTCTTTCTGAGGGGAAGGACTGTAGTGGCAGGAAGGGTAAGAAGGTGGTTTTGAGTCTCAGCTCTTAGCTATTGCTCTGACCTCTTGAGCTTTTAACTCTGCATTTGGCTCTGTGTTTCTTATTTAATAAGACTATTACATCTACATAGTGTTTATGTGGATATCACTCAATCCTCTTGGTTTGGATTTTTGTTTTGTTTTGCATTATTATTTTTGAGACAGAGTCTTGCCATGTCTTAGTAGTTAAGATAGGAATAACTTTGCCAACAGTAAGGTATTGTGGGAAATGGAAACCACTTGGCAGATTAGAGCCAATGAAACCAATGTACCTTGTGTACTCATTGTATTTAATCCATAGCAACACTGTGGAGTCCCCCTCTGTTTTGGAAATGCGCACAACAGACACCTCTGGGTGTCTTGTAAGCCACTGCCAAGGGACAAGCTCCCATTGCCAAAGAACAATTCAGCTTTTGTGTGGGAACAGCAGGACGCTACCATGTTTTCCTCCCTTTTTTTTCTTTTTTATTGAATCATAAGAATGTGTGCTGTGTACCACATAAAACCCACCCATGCATAAACCACTGTGTTAGAGGTTCAGAGAAAAACTGAGGCTTTGCTCCCGTCCTGCTCTAACCAACCCCCACATACCTCCCACCCCCTACTCCAACTGCAGGTCAGGTTTGCAATGGCCACAACAGAGCTGCTTGCTGCCTGTTCAGAAACAGGAGGAGGAAGAAGGGGATGGGTGGGGGAAGGGTAAGGAGGAGGAGAAGAGGAGGAGAAGCAGAAAAAGGGGCAGAGAAGGAAAAAGGGAAGGGGAGGAAGAGAAGGGGGGAGGAGGAAGATGAGGAGGAAGAGGGAGATTAGAAGGGTGAGAGGGAGGGAAAGGAAGAGAAGGGGATGAGGAAGAGAAGAGGGAGGAGTCAGTGCAGAAGGAAGAGGGGGAGGAAAAGGATAGGGAGGAGAAGGGGGAAGGAGAGGAGGAGGAAGAGGGAAAGAGAGAAAAAGTCTGAAAAACCCAGACTCCATGTTATTTCCATTTCAAAATATATTTTCAAGGATACATCCAAGCTTGGTGACACAGGCCTTTAATCCAAGAAAGAGAGCCTTTAACCTCAGGGAGTGATGGTAGAAGGCAGAAAGGTATATAAGGTGTGAAGACCAGGAACTCGAAGCATTTGACTCGTTAATCTTTCAGGCTTCTAGCAGCAATTCAGAATTCTAGATGAGGACTCAGAGGCTTTGAGTCTGAGGAAACAGGACCAGCTGAGGAACTGGCAAGGTGAGGTAGCTGTGGCTTGTTCTGCTTCTCTGATCTTCCAGCATTCACCCCAATAACTGGCCTCAGGTGGATTTTATTAATAAGAACTTTTAAGATTCTTGCTACAATTTTCCAAAGAGAAAAGACCTCATCAAACACACTAGCATAGCCCAATTTTACCAATATGCCTGAGACATGGTTCCCATGAGGAGTGAACATCACTAGACCATAACCAGAAATATTGTCTTCCCTCAGCATACATAAGGAAATGGTCGCTAGAGTACCTGGAACTTCAGAACGTTGAATATTCTGTTCCTTAGGCTGAGATGGTACGTGTATGAATTTTTTTCTATCTTATAATTTGACTCCACTCTACTTTAGAAGTGGGGTCTTAGTTGCAGCACTCAGGAGAGTGCCCCCTGCACCTCACCTGGGCAACAACAGTAGAGCTGGTCCTGATGGTGTAGGTTGGGGGAGCCAACCCTGAGGACCATAAAAGCAGAACTGACTCTGCCCCTTGCTCATGCTACAAGGGCTGAACTAGCCAGGGCAATGCAGGAGAGCTCCCCCTGGTGGTGAAGACAATGGAGAGCTGGCAGGCTGAGCAACCCTGCAACTACCCAGGCCTGCAACCAGGGTTATGTGTTGGCCTACCTCAACATCCACCCAGTCTATAATCTGCTGGAGCATGGGTAAGAGCTGGTTCTTAAAACCCAAAGCTGCAGGATCTCCATGACACAGGGCAACAACAGGATATTCAAGAGGAGTCCCAGTGAGGACCCAGCATCAACAGTGTAGTCCAGAGGTCACGAACCAGACTAATGACTCTTTGCAATGAACACTTGCAAGGAAAGATATATGAATAAAAGGGTTTACTGTGTGACTCACTGTGACACACTACAGCTTCTATGACAAGACTGATTTTTTTCTTTTTTCTTTTAAATTTTATTTTATTTTGGGAGGGGGTTGTAAGAGCAGAGGGTGGATGTGAAGGGATGAGGAAATGAATAGGATGCAGATGCATGATGTGAGAGACAAAGAATGAACAAAGAGATGGTTAAAATAAGAAGTAGGGTCTTGCTTTGGGATTATAGTGGGTACGGATGCACTCCCATGCTCAAAGTGAACTTTAACCCATGCCTGACCTGTCTGGAAACCTAGCAGTGTCAGCACCATTGATCAGCTGCTATTCTATATTGCCAAGTGCACAACTTCAAGTCCAAGTCATGGACACATAAGGGGAACAGGTGCAAGATACTCGACCTGGTCACCTATTCTGAAACTTATCCCTTACTTTAAGAAAACTATAAAATGTGATTTATGGTTCTCAGAATGGAAAGCATCCTGGTTTTGTTGGGGTGTGGGGGCATGTCCTGCAGATTAAACCCCTTCAGAAAGGAGTTTAAAGAACTCTAAAGACAACAGACTAAATCTGGGCATGGTGGTGCACCCCTGAGGCAGGAGGATTGCCACAAGTTCCAAGCATGGCTATAAAGCAAGATCATGGCAAAAAGTTTAAACACACAGCTACGACTGTTTAAAAAGGAATTTAATAAAACCAGAAGCAACTTTTATTAGTGGACTTTAAAACTTGAAGAAATGGACATAATGTTGGGAAAGTATGAAATTGCCAAATTCATAGGAAATAATTTTGAAAAGATGGACATACCAATAAAACCCTGAAAGGCGCTGAAATGATCCTCAGATTTAAGTCCAAATACCCAAGAAGTACAGCATTTGTGGAATGGGAGAAAGACTTGATGTTGTCTCTTTACAGCTCAAAGGAAAGGGGCTGAGTTTCACCTAGATACTTGTCAGTGTTTACTGGAGAGTATTATTCCCTGGGAGATGTGGCAGTCTGTCAGGAAAAGGCACAAGGATATAGAGGTAATATGTAGCACCATGCAGAAGAGAGTCCTAGACTATGACACAGACAGGAACCAGGAAGTGACCACGTGCAACCTCACACTTACCCTGGCTAGGGATATAAAGGGCCCAGGCTCAGGAGGCTCCACATCTGCACACTTCCCTCTCTATCTGTTTCTCTAACCTCCTCCATCTTCAACCAAACACCAGAACCATGAGCTGCTGTGGCTGTTCAGGAGGCTGTGGCTCCAGCTGTGGAGGCTGTGGCTCCAGCTGTGGAGGCTGTGGCTCCAGCTGTGGAGGCTGTGGCTCCTGCTGCTGCATGCCTGTGTGCTGCTGCAAGCCTGTGTGCTGCTGTGTGCCTGCCTGTTCCTGCTCCAGCTATGGGGGCTGCAAGCCCTGCTGCTCTTCAGGCTGCGGGTCTTCCTGCTGTCAATCCAGCTGCTGCAAACCCTGCTGCTGTCAGTCCAGCTGTTGCAAGCCCTGCTGCTGCCAGTCCAGCTGTTGCAAGCCCTGCTGCTGTCAGTCCAGCTGTTGCAAGCCCTGCTGCTGTCAGTCCAGCTGCTGCAAACCCTGCTGCTGTCAGTCCAGCTGTTGCAAGCCTTGTTGCTGCCAGTCCAGCTGTTGCAAACCCTGCTGCTGTCAATCTAGCTGCTGCAAGCCCTGCTGCTCTTCAGGCTGTGGGTCTTCCTGTTGCCAGTCTAGCTGCTGTAAGCCCTGCTGCTGCCAGTCTAGCTGTTGCAAGCCCTGCTGCTGTGAGTCCAGCTGCTGCAAACCCTGCTGCTGTCAGTCCAGCTGTTGCAAGCCCTGCTGCTGTCAGTCCAGCTGTTGCAAGCCCTGCTGCTGTCAGTCCAGCTGCTGCAAGCCCTGCTGCTCCTCAGGCTGTGGGTCTTCCTGCTGCTAGTCCAGCTGCCGAAGCCATCATGCTATGTCCCCATGTGCTGCCAGTGCAAGATCTGAAGCTCTCAACTTGACATTGTCTTTCTGAACGAGCTTCCTCAGCTGTGTCCTTCAGTTTATCACTGGGTCTCAGACTATGATGCATGGTCCCTTAGTACCCCTGCTCCCCACAGGACAAAATCAATATTGGCTTCCAGTTCCCAAGAAGAGGTCATCTTCTCATCAACTGTCTCCTAACAAATTCTTTTCTGGAGTCATACTACCTACAGTGTCGTCACCATAGCCTGCCCACTTAGCCATCTGAGCTCATGATACCATTTCTGCCATGTCTTTTTTATCTTGGCAGGAGTCAACCCTTGGTGTTGCCGCAATAAGGTGAGTATAAAGACGTTCTTGGACTAGTATGCAGAGAAACAACCACCTCTGCTTTCTCTCAAACTGAGTAACACAAACCAATAAAAAGTATCACATGGACCAACTGTACCCATGCCTCATTCATTCTGTCACTCGCTCATCACTCCATGGTTTCCACATTGTCTTGTTTTGTGTGGGATTCCACCAGCATGATGGTGGTGCTGAAGGCAGTTAGGGTCTCTCCTGCCTCCCATCTCCTTCTACCTCTCTCCTCCCTCTCTTGGGACCCTGCTGATTCATGCCTTACTAGATTTGGTAGGAGAGAAACCAGACTGCTAGGCCAAAGCGGCTCTGAAGCTGTGACAGGTCCTGGCCGGGTCAGACCCACTCCTCTGACAACTCCCTTTGGAAGGCTCTGACTTTCTCAGCAGACATTTAAGTAGTCTGAGGATCTCTAAGAGCACCCACATGCCTAGCCTCACCAAGCTCTTCTCTCTGGATATTTTCTTCTAGCTTCCAGCAGGTGGCATTCTTTCCTAACATGGAGCTGTCTGTAAAGGAGACCTAACTGTCATGTCCTTCAGCAGAGGAGGGCTGTACACCCAGCCTGCCCTCTAAAAGCTCTCCAAAGCCCCCTGAGCTAGGAGAAGTGGAGACATTCATTCACGAGCAGCCTGTGTCCTATGTAAAGGGGAGCCCCAAAAGCAAAGGTCTGGTCCTGCTCTTCAGGACCTGTGTAGGGGTGGCAGTGAAAATGGCGTCACTCCAGCACCGCAAACACGTGACCAGGTTGAAAAAGGGAACTAGGAACTGGGGATGCTTGGCGGAGAGAGCAAAGCTCTACTTCTTGAATCGGGCACTTCAGTAGGAAACCAAATGTGTTTTTCTTTAATTTAATTGATTATTATTTAGCAATATATACATGTGCACATACACAAACACACACACACACACACACACACACACACACACACACTTCAGGAGAAGGTTCTCTCCTTTCTCTTGGATTCTGGGATTCAAACTCAGGTTGTCAGGCTCACATGGAAAACACTTTTACCCATGGGGACATCTTGACAGTCTTACTTCTTTCTTTAAAATATTGTATCCAAGCTGGACATGGAGACTCACACCTATAATCCTAGCACTCGGGAGGCTGAGGCAGAAGGATTCTCACATGTCATAGTTTCCTTCAGCTGTCAACTTGACACAAACCTTAAGTCACTTGGGAAGAAGGAACCTTCACTGAAGAATTGCCCAGATCAGATTGCCCTGTAGGAATATTGGGGGCATTTTCTTGATTAATGATTTATTTGGAAAAGCCCAGGCCACTGTGGGCACTGCCCCCCTGGGAAGATGGTCCTGCATTGTATGAAAAAGCAAATAGAACAAGCCATGGGGAGCAACCTAGTAAGCAGTGCTCCTCCATGGCCTCTGCCTCAGCTCCTTCTCCAAACTCCTGCTCTGACTTCCCTTCCTTCCTACAAAAGTTGCTTTTGGTCATGGTGTTCATCACAGCATGAGGCCAAATAAGACACACCGTTGTGTAACCTCCCAGAGAACAGGGGGTGCTGCTCTGGATGGCATAATTGGGTCCATGTGGGTTGATCCAGAAACCTCATTACAGGAATTGTGGCCTTAGTTTTTTGGCTAGGTGGTGAGTGAGATTGGTGGTTTTAGCCTCTTACCTCTGGGGTGAAGTTGGGAAAACACCCTGTCCCCTTCATGCTGGCTGCTGTAGCAGCAGTTAGTGAAGAACTGTAATACATGAACTTAAGGGAGTATCTCATGTGCAGAAGAAAAGATGTAGAAAATGAATGGAAATTTATAAAATCTACCGAGTCTCCTAAATTAAATTTAAGCTAAATGAACCCATTTTACTTTATTTTGTTTTAATGTGTGTAACCAAATGGTTTCTATTGCTATGATGAAACAACATGACCAATGCAACTTGGAGAGGATGGGATTTGTGTGGCTTACACTTCCATATCACTGTTCATCACTGAAGGACAGGAACTCAAGCAGGGAGGAACCTGGAGGCAGGCGCTGATGGAGAGACAATGGAGGGTGCTGCTTACTGGATTGCTCCCCATGTTTTGCTGGGCTTCTTTCTGCTACAGCACGGGACCACCTGCCCAGACCACAGGCCCCACAATGGACTGGGGCCTCTTCCAATATCAAAAGAAAATGCTATGCAGGCTTGCTTACAACTGCACCATATGGAGGCATTCTCTTTATTGAGGTTTCCTACTCTCTGATGACATTAGCTTATATTAAGTTGACATAAAACTAGCCAGCACAATGTGTGAAAACATGTTTGGAGACCAGAGAGCAATTTCAGGTCTCACTATCAGGAACTTTGTCCATCTCCTTTGAAGCAGAGTCTCTCACGAGCCTGAGGCTTGCTGACTGGACTATGCCAGCTGGCCAGTGATCCCCATGGACTTTGCTATCTCTTTCTCCTTGAGATGAGACTCTACCTGCCATTTCACATGGTTCCTGAGGATGAATCACGTTCTTTGTACTTGCAACGTGCATGGCAAGTACTTTACCAAAGGAGCTGTCCTACCAGATCTGAACAACCCATTTTAAGTGTCCTCTTGCAAGCTGCACAAGGCTGAGCAACACACATTCACACACACACACACACACACAGCACAGAATACAATAGATGTGTCTTCCTAGATGGTAGGGTGGGATCTGCTGAGGAACCAGAGGTTCCAGAAATGAGCACTCCCCACTTTTGACAGAGGTTTGTAGGTATCTGTTTTACTGATGGGAAGTAGTTCTTCCATGTAAGACGAGGAGCCTATAGCCCAGAAAACCTTGAAGCCTACAGTCCAAGATGAAACCAACCAACACCACAATTAGCAGAGAAAGGCCTGCTGCTACTGTGGGTCCATTGGAAATGGAATGGGCCATGATTCTGCATGCAAGGGTTATTATGGGTGGAGGGAGAGAAGGGAAGGGTGCTAGTTAGTTACCTGGGAAGAGTCTCAATGAAAGATTCTCTACTCAATGAGAGATTGAGGTGACTTGTGTGGTTTTGTCTTGATTAAGTTCATTGATGAGGGCAGCACCATTCCCTAGGCAGAGTCCTGAATTGTATGAGAGTTGAGAAATGGAGCTGAGCACAAGCAAACAAGAAAACACACATGCATTCACTTCTCTAAGCTCTTGACTGCATAGATGTTGTGACTAGCTTTCTGAAGTTCCTGTCTTGACTTCCTTACAGTGAGTGTCCATAATTGTAAGCTGAAATAAACCTTCATTTCCCATAACTGTCTTCTTGCCATAGTATTTTATTGCAGCAACAAAAGTAAAATTAAACAGGAAGAACGGAAAGAAAAACCAAAATTCTTTCACTGCATTGCAGTCATGCCTCTGTGGCTGCAACTGTCTTAGGTACATTTCCTCTGCTGGCATTACACACAAACTGAATGCAGCTGCATATCCCACAAAACACAGACGATCTATAACACTATGAAAGTGACCAAAGAATAGTGGCTGAACAGTGCCAAAGCCAGAGACAGTGAACTCCAGCACTTAGAACAAGAAACAGGTCCTGGTTGACAGGTGTAGGGGCTCCTGAGCAGGTTGAGTATAGACAAAGGTGGATGTGATAAAGTGGGCTTCACCAACTTTTTTTTTTGGTATGGGAATCCTCCTTTGCAGAATGATTAACTATCTGGTAATGAGAGGAGGATCTCCATACCATTGACATCATGGAATCCTCTGTGTTTTGTGGTATGTGGGGTGTGTGTGTGTGTGTGTGTGTGTGTGTGTGTGTGTGTGTGTGTATCCATCCTTTAGTGCACACTTGTGTGTATCTGTAAAGATATTTGCTATTGGTTAGTGGATGAGCTCCAGAGAGCTGCATTATTCCAGATATGATCAAAGAGCGTGTGTGTTAATTTTTTCAAGTCTGAATGATTTATTTCCTGATTGGGAACTTGAATAATCCAAACTGAGAGAGAATCCCAGGATGTCTGCTCTAAGGTCAAAGACAAACTGTCCTGAAATGAATGGATGGTGACAGCTCAGGGCTGAAGAATTCTTCTTGACTCCCAGGAGCCTCATCTCCTGGGCTCCTTCTACACTATCTGTCTGGAGACATGTTTGGAAGAATAGACCATGTGACAATGACTAGCAGGCACCAACTAGTGCCATGTCTTAGTTAGGTTTACTATTGCTGTGAAGAGACACCTTGTCCACAGCAACTCTTATAAAATATTTAATTGGGTGGCTCACTTACAGTTTCGAAGTTCAATCCATTATGATCATGATGGGGATCATGGCGATGTGCTGGCATACGTGGTTTTGGCTACATCCTGCAGGCAAAAAGGAAGTTGATTGACTGTCACACTCAGTGAAGTTTGAGAAAAACACATCTCAAGGCCCACACACACAGTGACATGCTTCCTCCAACAAGACCACACCTACTCCAACAAAGCCACACCTCCTAATAGTGCCACTCCCTTTGAGGGCCATTTTCTTTCAAACCACCACAGGCCTGTGAGGGTGAAGTCCAGACAGAAAGCTGAGGTTCCAAGGGAAGAGAGAGGATGCACGGGTGAGCCTTGTACAGGAGATCAGTCAATGGGGCCACCAATAGCCCCCTGATCTGCTTTGGAACCTGCCCCTTCCAGGCCT